TAATGAGGAATACTTTGGACTCGAAACATTATCGAGTTAATAATAGTGTATTACTGTGTATTAGTAAATCAAATGAATCTATCTAATTCATAGTTCTATTTTACGAACATGGACAAATTCTAAATTTACGTTAATTACTGGTTTTCCAAATATGCAGGAGAAAGTGGAGATGGATCAGACACTCGCTGAGGAGACCGCTGGGTGACATCGCTCGCCAAGCTCTCGAGTGAAACCCGAAAGAGAAGCGGCGAGTGGGTCGTCAGTGCAAGGGTGACATGGAGGAGATCTTAGGAAGAGGAGTTGAAACAGTATGGACTAACATACATGGAAGCAGGTGAAAAGTACACCAGAAGACAAAAGCAAGTGGAGACGTGCAGTTGAAGCCCGTTGTTCCACTAGGAACCCAAGGGAGCAGTAATAATAATACTGGTTTTTCAAACTACACGGATAACTTTGTATCCGATAAAAGAATGGTGTCGAGTAAGCACAACAGAATAATTCCTTTATTAATTCAATCATTTCGTCAAATAAAATGAAACTCTACAAACATCTTTTAGGTGGCATTTGTTTATATGCTTGTAAATAAACTCTGAGAATGACAACATTTCAGTGAGTAGAGTGATTATTCAAAGATTTTTGAAAAAAAATCATTGTCGTAAAATCTGACAGCTGATAAAATTACAGAAAACAAAATTATCATGATGAATTAGACAGTTTTGATCTTCACATTACCCCATTTTGCATTAAAAAAAACAACAACTGACACATTAGTTGTCACTTGCCAATACACTTATTAATTCGATAAATTTTTTTTCTTTTTAACACTATGCTGGCGAAATATGACATATATATAAGGAGTATTCTCTTTTTTTCTACATATAATGGTTCCAGATTATCCCTGAGTGGGCGAAAATTAGATTTATACTTTTTTTCAGTAACTGTTGCATTGAATAGACTGTCTGGAAAATTGTTGATTCGATCTGTCACATTTATCTAAGAGTGAATAATAATAATATATACCAGCTGACTTATCTGACGACTAATTCATCAATTTCGTCATATTGTGACCAAAAAAGAAGGTATTGTCTGCTATTCAGTTATGATGAGTGTATTACTCATGATAGAGATTAAACCCCAGGGGGCAGAGTGATTTTTAGTGATTTATCTATCTATCAATCTATACTTTCTGCGATGCACTTTTGTTTGATTCAATCATCCTAGTATAACAACAGGTCCTGCTTGCGTAATTCCTTTTCGTTCATTTTATCTACTCGCAGTATACAGTGTACCATAGGCTTAAATAATAATCATTTGTCATTTTATTTCGTCACTATTGTTTTAGCTGTATACAGTATGTTTGATGAAAGCAAATAGTTATGTTACAGAGGCAGAATATCGTTTCATATAATAATAATAATTTTATCTGATCCAAACATACAGTGATGTAATATGAATTTCTGGACAGAGCTCATTGAGTATAATTCATTGCTCGTCATCATGTGAAGATAATACGTCATCGGTGAATAACACTGGATCATTGTGTTTCATTTTATCGAATAGAATTATTGAATTTTAAAATTGTATTCAATCGCGATGTCTCAATTCTATTGCTATATATCAATAAACAAAATTTCGAGCAATAACCAGCTTGTACTGATAAATTCTAATGTTTATTCAGTAAAATACAAAGGACTTTAAACTCATCGGCAGTAAGCACCCACACTTCCAGGGTTCGAACCCAGGACCTTCAGGTTACAAAGCAGGCTGGGTCGTATACAATTCAGCCACTGGGACCCAATTCAATGGCCCATGCATGAATTTTTACTTCTACCAATTCGTGATTTAGTGCGACTCCAACCACTGCCGTAGGTGGGACATCCATCCTCATACGTGACATCTGGATGGACCTCACTGGTCACGACTTCTCACTAGAACTCCAGGAAACTCCATTCTGTAGCAAGTGACTAACGAGGATCAGATTAATTTTCTATAGTTTGGTTTTTTAGGGATAGTTTTGTTAATATGGGTTGATCACGGATTGATATCATTTAGAGAACCATTGAAAACCAAGTTGCTTGCTAGTGACCTGCTACAGAATGGAGTTTCCTGGAGTTCTAGTGAGAAGTCGTGACCAGTGAGGTCCATCCAGATGTCACGTGTGAGGATGGATGTCTCACCTACGACAGTGGTTGGGGTCACGCCAAATCACAAATTGGTAGAAGTAAGAATTCATGCATGGGCCATTGAATTGGGTCCCAGTGGCTGAATGGTATATGAGCCAGATTGCCTTGTAACCTGAAGGTCCTGGGTTCCAGCCTTGGTAGTGGTTGCGTACTGCCGATCATTCCCAAACTAGGATGAAACAGCTGTCCAGTACTCCTTGCTGGTTTTCAGTGGTTTTCTAGCTGATATCAATCCGTGATTAACCCGTGAAAGCAAAACTGACCCATTACAAACTAAACTATAGAAAACAATACTCATTTGAAGAAATGAAGAGAAACTGCCCTGTCTTACCCGTGTATTCCTGACGAGTTTGTTACATTGGTTCCACGATCAGTTACTTTCATCATCGAATTTCTGGACATGTATAATCGTAGTTTGACAAAGGTCGGAATAAAGTTGTACGCAGTACAATACTAACTCATCCCGTCGATAACGCACATCAAGGTGACACCAACAAAGCTTTTAAAATTATTTATGGTATTTAATCTAACATTTCTCGTGCCTTACTAGTACAGTAAATGCGGTCAGAAATCATCGAAAACAAACTACATCGGTGTGTTTAAAAGAATTTTGCTCAGCTGCCTTCTTTGCCCTGGCCAGCTACATAACATGTATCAAGCTTTACAAAAGATTTTCATCTACTCTTGTAACTGTCTTTAAACCTCTTTATTTTGCTGCGATTGCAATTCTAGCTAGTTCAGTTAACTTGCTTGTATCTTACATAATCCTGTTTATTTATCCTATTTATTTAAATCAATTAGTCCCTCTTATGAATTTTGATAGCGTTATTAGAAGACGTAGATTATCTGAAAAATGCAATGTATTTGCGCAATACATTTCGAACAATCTGATCACACATTTATTTGCAAGTTAGTATATATATGGAAAAGTTAAATTAAACAAAGTGACAAAAAAGAATTAAGAATAATTAACACAACGTTTGGTATTCCAATCAAATAAGGATTACCAAGGTAGGTTAACAGAAATAACAAACTGTTTTCGAATACACACGAGGGGGGCTTAAGTTCATGAATGGCTATAGCCTCAGCGTCTTTCATAAAGCGCTCTTGACCGTTTTTATAGATCACCTTAAAGGCTGAGTTAACATCAGTCTTATGGTTCATCTCGACTAGATGTTTAGCCATAGACGAAGTTGGTAGTCTGACACCTGCATCTATTGGTTTTTCACAATTCATTTGTTTTTCTTACCATTTTGGGATATGCTCTCCCACCCTCACATGCAAAGCTCGATTAGTCCTCCCTATGTACATGTGTCGTCACACACACACACACGAAAATTGGTTAGTTGTGTGGGATGTGACATAACCACTTGTGCACTTTTGAGGTTAACAGTGGAGCATTTATTTAGCTTTTTCGACAATTACAAGCTGGGCTGCATAGTAGGTTCTACGGATGATCGAATTCAACCTTTGTCTCACAATTCTACTGTTTATTTCCCCGTTATATGGTAATTTGATGAAAACCATTTTATTAGGGGCGGTTTGGATTGTAGGTTTAGAGACTAGCTGACTTCTACACCTGTTTAAAAATTTTAAAGGATATCCGTTTGCAGCAAGAGTATCCATCAATATTTCGTTTTCTTTGTCTATAACATCAGCCGTACAAATACGCTGAATCCTCTTAAATAGACATTTCACCAAACCTCTCTTATGCTGTAATGGACAGAAACTGTGAAAATTAAGGTACTGCCTTGTCCAAGTGGGCTTTCTGTAGATTGATCGCTTTATTGAGCCATCATCTCTTCGACTCAGAAGTATGCCTAAAATTGCAAGGTGGTTGCGACTTTCTCCCTCATATGTAAGCCTAATATGATTCTGTACAGAGTTAAGTCTGTCTAATAGACGTCTTCATGATTGTCGCATATCAAAATGATATCATATACATATCTCTTATAGAAGGGCAATTTAAAAATAAAATCAATGAAAACGTTTTCAACATAAGACATGTAAACGTCCGCTAACAAAGTTCCTAATGAACTCTACGTAGCAACCCCATCCACTTGTCTAAAGCGTTCACCTTCAAACGTGGAATGGACGTTGTCAGTACACTATAGTAATAAATCTTTCAAATAAGTTAAAGGGAAAGGGAATGAAAAACAACTAGAAGATATATAGTCACAAGTAATATCACCAGACGTTGTGTTAATTCTTTTTTGTCACTTTGTTCAATTTAACTTTTCCATATATATATTGACTTGACAAGTAAATGTGTGATCAGATTGTTCGAAATGTAAAGCGCAAATACATCACATTTTTCAGATAATTTCCGTCTTCTAATAACATCCTATTCATTTTATGAATTGTTACTTTATTAATTTCCTGTTTACATTATAATTTGTTACTACCTCATGAGAATTAGTTAATCAGTCTCCAACCCTCTTGATCACGTGAGGTCATTCTCGATTTCTTGGACATTGTATTACACTGACAATAGCCTTTGACGTGTGTTGCCGGTCTACATTGTACATATATATATATATAGTTGCGAAAAGAAATTTCTTTGCTGACTGATGTGTTCCTGAAATGTTTGCGTTTCATTCATGATCTTCGAAATGCCTCTAAACAGGTAAGATATTTATCTCATGCTAAAGTGTCTTTTACGAACTTCAGTTTCTTCTATGATCAGATATCTATATTTTTTAAGCCATAAATTCTGATAATCACCTTACTTCCCTTGAACGTTTCTCCTTAGAACAGATTAGCAAGACTTTTATCGGAAATAAAAATACTAAAGTGATATAGTGTAGTGTAACTTACCATATATAATAAAATTCTTCCAGCTGATTCTGTATATTCATGAATAGTGGATAACACACTTAGGACAAGGCATCCAAATACAGAAGCGAATCTGTAAAAAATAGAAAGAATTAAGGCAAATTGTTTAGTATTTCCAGTGTTAAACGTTTGCGGTATTTATAAGAAGGAAACAATTTTGAATCTTGTATATGTAGTCCAAATAACAATTGGCAAATGCAAGTTAGAAGAGGATGATGAGCATACCTTACTGTGTTTTGCAGGATTTCATAATATTCCGCCTGACATTTTACATTAAGAAGTTAAGGCACTCGGGTATAACTCAACCCCTCCTCCTAAAGTTCATAAACTCTTGCATCCTACCTATTCTTCTTTATTGTTCACCCTTACTCTTCCCTGGTTCGCTTAAAAAGGACTATGTCACAATTCGTAGAATACTGAAGACGGTCAGTAGGGTGAGTGGTGTCCCAGTAGACCACATAGTTAACGTCGTTGTCGATAGGCGCTTGAATTTGTGCAATAAATTTGCTAAAGGGATTTTGTCTGACTTGGAGCATCCACTTTACCCTGAGCTTCCTTTCACCTTGCATTTCCTCAGGTAGAACAAGAAGTAACTTCAGAAAACTGTATGCTGACACGTCAAAGTATAGAAATTCTATGATACCATACTTGGCACGTATTTTATGTGATGAAAATAGTGTCAGGCAAGAATTAACTAACCTTTTTTCATCTAGTAAATAAGTAATTTCCTCCATCCATCCATCCTTATATACCTTCAAGTTCTACTTGTATTATTTTTATTATATTTATGGTCCTGTTACTTCTCTGTTTTACTCTCATAATTGCAAACACCAACTTATCTCCATGACGGCTGTAATCTTTGTTTTTCCCTTCACCATATCATGTAAAGAGAACCTCATATTCAATATTTTTAAACATGTTAGGATTTCTATACCGCATTGAGAATACTGTGTGAAACGAGGCCATGCAAATTTTCATCTTGTATTATTATTATTACCTTGGCTGTTATCATGATGAATATTTCCATTTTATATGCTGCATGTTTCTGACATTAGCCCTATTGTAAATGTGGAAGATTTTCTGTATGATTAATTTTATTTATAATTTGAGGAAAATAGATGCAATATTATGATTAATGCTGAAAATCACAACCTGTATCACAAGTACTGTTTTTGGAATAAAGTAAACCATTATCATTATTATTCATCAAGGATTTTACTTAATTTTGAAACTACTAGCATTTTCATCCTGACTCTCCGTTTCAGGTGCTTTTCAATAGGTCATATAAACATTATACTAACGCATATAAACCGAGTGTATAGTATTTGCCTCCTAAACTGTTTACGTTGACTAAAAGTTCAGAACCTTTTGATATTCGAGAAAATTAGGATGAGAATAGAATTAAAAAGTTACAATCGATATTCTATTACCAGCACAATGAAAACTGACAATTTTTTAAATTAAAGGATGAGAGTTAAACGATTAACAGATATGGTAAAAAATAGCTTAGTTGTAAGTAGCTTTGTTAATAAAGTACCGTGTGCTACTTGAAGCCTCCTTTCCATTAGCGCTTCCACTGCGCCCTAATTATTTGCATGAACACCAGTGAAATTTCTGTCGAAATGTTGTTTGCGGGGATTTGACTGATTTCGGTATTTCATCATGAACTGGTAGTGTTAAAGGACCAGTGACATGCAGCAAGTCAAGTGTGAGGACAAACACTCGCAACCGATGACTTTCGCTAGGGGTGGCACCATATCGTGTATTCCCAGGAGTCGGAATCCACGGGTCCCAGTGGCCTAATGTTCTACGAGGTTGCCTTGTAACCAGAAAGTCCTGGGTTCGAACATCAGTGGGTGTTTGTTGATGAAGAGTCCCAAATTAAGGTGAAACAGCTGTCCAGTAATCCAGGTTTTCCGATGATTCTCTAACGAATATCAGTTCATGATAAAATTTTGAAATTAAATTCGCTTTGACAGCTGTGCAAGCATGCAAAACAGCTAACAGGCTAGAAGACTTAACTCCTAGCTGAGAATGGGATGTGCGGTGAATGTCATTTGTGTGTGTATGGTTAGCATTAGTGTTGCAATCTTAGCATTGGTGTTGTTTGTATCTGAAAAACGCCAAGCTTCACAGTGCCAGCAGGATGATGGATGGTAAAAACAAGACCATGGGAGGTCTAATCAAAAGATTAAACATTGAAACGGTTAAACTCAGATAATGCAGAAATGATGCGCTTATAGAAATTCTAAGGTACTCAAAGTTTCAAAACACTATCTCATGAATACGATGACATAGAGGAGGTGAGTGAACAGCAGTATTTAAAAATAGCCCCAGATACTATGCTATAATGTATCATTCACTAAAATGCTAGGCATCAAAACGTTTAACATAAATGTTACCTTATGAATACATATAATACTGAATACAATTATTGTGGAGTAAAATCTAATTCAGAAGTTAAAATATTGTTCTAACCAACCTCCATATATGACTGTCAATACCTTTCATCTACTTAATAGCATAAGATATAGGCTGGAATGTTAAATAGCCGAAGTTTATGAACAAAATACAGGGAAAACAGCTCACATTTCTTGGAATAAAGCACTGAAACACGAAAATGGCTATTATGAAACCACGGGCTTGCAAGCTTTGCCCTCTTACTATTTATTATTCAAACACTCTCCATTCCATGTAACTAACTGTAAACATAACAGGTCAGCAATTTGTTTAAGAGGTGTGCACAACCCCGACTGAAGCGTTATGAGACTGAATAAATCTGTCACTAAATCTCTAGCAATAAGGTAGAATATACGCATAAATTAATAAACAACATATCTGAAGACCTAAAATTCACAAGAGAAGAAGAATAAAATAACAAAATCCCATTTTGAGATGTCTTAGTCAGGAGAACCAACACAGGAAATTTAGAAATACAAGCATATAGAAAACCAAAGCACACAGATCAAACACTCAACTATATTAGCAATAATCCAATTATTCACAAAATAAACTGTGTGCAGACATTGTTTAGAAGAATTCAAACACACTGCAGCACTCCAGAGCTGAAAAGAATGGAAGATAAATACCTACAAACGGTCTTCAAAAAGAATGGTTATCCACAAAATTTCACCAAAAAGTGTCTAAAATTGAATCACAACACCAACAAAAAACCATCATCAAAGACCACAAGAAAATTCATCCTACCATACATGAGAGATATCTCTGAAATAACAGCTAGAATAGTGAAACCGTTTGATATAGATGTAGCAAACAAACAAGTCGAATCGTTTAATTCGATCTTATGCAAACCATAGGATCCAACAGAAAAAGGAGATAAAATTAATACCATTTACAAAATAAATTGTATGAACTGTAATAGGCATTACATCGTCCAGAGTGGGTGTCCCCTTCGAATTAGAATCCAAGAACACAGATCATCCGTGAAAAGACACGATATATATTCTTTCATATAGATGCATCTAGACAATTATGGACATCAGTTTGATGGGAATAATGTCGGAATCTTAGACAGAAAAAACACTAAAATTACCAGGGAATTCCTAGAAGCCAAGCCTGGTACTCAAACGAAAATGCAATTAACAAACATATTAATGTAGACCATATATACCAACTAATAAAAGGTAAATCATGTGACCAGAAAGTTCAAAATTCCAGTCAATGGAAACTGATCAATACATATGTAAAGATGGTTACCGGGAGACGCAATTATATCGCTAATGAAGAAATTTAAATCATTTCGCTGTATGCTAAAAATTGCGCTGAAGACGTTGTCCAGAAGGTGGATGACGAAAGTTCCTCAACTAAACCAACCAGTTCAGAGAACACTATTAACTGCAAATCATCCACCTGAGCTACAAATCTTCTCTGTTATTTCAAGGTAGCTGATTGTTTGTTTCTGGTCACAGTAGGAATATTGAGAGTGAGCTATAAATACGTTTAGGTGCTAACTATGGAAGGCTTAACCCCCTGCTGGACGAGTAGTACAAAATAATAACTAGTGTTTCATCTTTTTGTAAACTATATTGCAATTGTAAATGGCTATCTAATCTTTAATTATAAGGTAAACTGGAATCGTTAGCACACCTACCTACTTTCTCTGCAACATCGAAATTCTACTTTTAAGACAAATATTTCAGTTCAGTTAGACGAAAAAGAGGATAGCATGTATCCGTTTTACTTATATCTTATATTTCTGTACAGATAACAGAATCGATACAATAGGAAGAAATACTGATTGCCATCTACTTTAAATAATAATAAGAATAATAATAGTAATTATACAGAAATGCTATCATTATTTCGTTTAACTGATTTTATGTCAGGTTTGACATTTTCATCTTCGAGTGATTGTGAATAAAATATTGTATTGTATTGTGTGATTCAGTCCTCTATTTTATTTTTATTTTTTCTATTGAAACAGCATCACGATAATTAACAGCTCAGCAGGTGTTGACATGTACAAAGTTAATCTATAGATTGACGATTTATGGTTATAAAAAAAGATGAATTGCTTGTTAAAAAAATTCCCATCATGGGATTAGCGAGGATATTTTATTCGAGGTTTAGTTTGGATGCTTTTACTTCCAAATAAACTCTTACAAAAAGGGTAAAATGGGAGGTTTATAAAGTAGAATGATAATCAAAGGAAAGTGTTGGTTTGTAGGGATTTGGCTGATTACAGGATTTTATCATGGGATTTCATCATGGTATACGAGCTCGCCTTGCAACCACAAGGTCCTGGGTTCGAACCTCGGTGTGTGCGTACTGATGAAGAGTCCCAAACTAGGACGAAACAACTGTCCAGTACTCCCAGGTTTCCCAGTGGTTCTCTAACTAATGTTAGCCTATGATGAAATCCTGAAACCTGATGTGTTAACTGATTTGAAAGTTAGACATTGTGTAGTGAATAGTGCTCAGAGTGCTTGAAAAGACATAATCAATAAGCATTTTTTTATCTGTAGCTAAGTGATGATTGCACAAACGATTGTAGTTCATTTTCGACCGTACACACTTCAATGGACCGTTCCTCCTCATTCTGTTCAGTGAATA